AGCAATAGTGCGAATCGTCGCGGAGAAGTCATATTTGAGGCGATTCAAAACTTACAATTCAGCATATTGGCGACTGGAGCCCCCACCCGTTACCCAATTAATGGACACAGGCCCTCGGCAATCGACTTCGCTGTCTACAAAGGCATCTGTGACCGGCAATTGACCATTGAAGAATCCTTGGACCTATCCTCTGACCACCTGCCACTAATAGTCACAATCCACGCGCAGCCACAGCCCTTGCCCATTAGGAAACAACTACTGCCAGCAGGATCAGATTTAGGAGTCTTTAGGCGCGAGCTCCATTACTCTTTGCACATAGAAATGGAACTTAACACTCCTGAAGACGTGGACTACGCAGCAAACAAACTGCAGGAAGAAATAGTCAAAGCTGCGCACCAAGCCGCCCCACCATCTTGCCAAACAAGACAACAGTCTCCGTACAACATCCCCCTCACCTTGGAGGCCCAACACCTACTAATACACAAAAGATGGGCCAGGAGACGCTGGTTAAGATTACGCACGCCTGATGCCAAATCCATGTACAACGAAGCCACGAGGCATCTTAAAGCTGCTCTCGCCCTGCTTCAAAAGAGGTGTATCAGCGATGCGCTGGTACGAGCTGAATCGCCCACTGACGCAGAGTTTCAATTATGGAAATTTACAAGAAAGCTCAAACGGCAGCCAATACGACGTCATCCCATTCGGAGCATTTCTGGTTCCTGGCACATTGGAGACGAAGCTCAAGCTGAGGCTTTTGCAAACCACCTTCAAGACCAATTCACGCCGGTGATTACCGCAGAGGCCTCAGAAATCGAAGCAACAGAAGACATCGTTCTCTCGCCCCTCCCAGCTGAAGACCAGATAACTGGATGTACAAAAGAAGAGGTTCTTGAACACATCAGAAGAGTGAAGGCAAAAAAATCCCCTGGATATGATCTAATAAACGGCAGAGTCCTTAGAGCACTGCCTGACTCCACCATAGACTACATAACTATGGTGTACAACGCCATGCTCCGCATCCGGCACTTTCCAGCCTGCTGGAAGCGCGCCGTGATTGTGATGATTCCTAAGCCTGGCAAACCCGTGGGAGAAATTGAGTCGTACAGACCAATTAGCCTGTTGCCAGTACTCTCCAAAATATTCGAAAGAATATTTCTGGAACGAGTACTGACACATCTGGGACGCCAGGAGGCCATTCCAAACCATCAGTTTGGCTTCAGGAGACAGCATGGAACACCGGAACAGGTTCACAGAGTTGTGCACCATATCCTTGGAGCCTTTGAAGAAAAGATGTACTGCTCTGCCGTCTTTTTAGACATCAAACAGGCGTTTGATCGAGTTTGGCACCTGGGACTGCTGCAGAAAGTGAGGACCACCCTTCCAGCCCCATTTTTCGCGTTGCTATCCTCATACCTTATTGGAAGAACCTTCCAAGTGTCAAGGGGGCAAACAGTATCCTTGACTAGACCAATTATGGCTGGAGTACCACAGGGTAGTGTTCTAGGCCCAACACTTTATACTTTATTCACAGGAGATATGCCAACTCCCGAGCCAAATATAGGAAGTACAGATGCAGTACTCATAGCGACCTATGCAGATGACACCGCCATCTTATCACGTCACGTATCTGCGCAAGAAGCTTCAGACTCACTACAAAAATATCTGGACTCTTTCGGACGCTGGGCAAAACGGTGGTGTATCACCATTAATGCACAAAAGTCTGTACATACTACCTTCGCCACTAGAAGAGGAGATTGCCCAAGCGTTGCATTGGGGCCCACTATTCCCAAAGCCTCAAAAGTAAAGTACCTTGGTATCACTCTTGACAGAAGGCTGACTTTTAAAGCGCACATAAGTCAAGTAACCTCAAAATGCAAAAGCAAGCTAAAAACCCTCGACTGGATGCTGAGAGCTTCAAGCAAGTTGTCTTACAGCAGCAAGGCCGCCATCTACAAGGCAATAGTTGTCCCAACCTTCGTATATGGTATCTCTCTATGGGGCTCCTCGGCGAAGACTACAAGGAACAAAATTCAGACCCTGCAGAATAAAGCACTACGCAGATGGACTGGAGCCAGCTGGTTTGTAAGAAACTCAGTCTTACATAGGGATTTAGCAATTCCCACAGTTGCTGAACTCATTGGGCGACACAGTTCAAGATACGCGGACAGACTTGCAGCGCATCCTAACCATCTCGCAAGCAACCTGGCTATAAACAACAATAGGCGAAGACTGAAGAGATTGCATCCTCTAGACAATATTAGAACTAATTAAGATAGTAGCTACAAGTGCAGAATAATTGGCATATCTGCCCTCCCATTAGTTAAGGTTTAGAGCTAAATGCGCTATAGAGTCTAAGACAATAAGCTGCAACAAAATAAAGAAATAAAAACGAAAAAAAAAAAAAAAAAAAAAAAAAAAAAAAAACATTTGTAATGCAACGGTATTTGGGCAACAAGGGTATTCCCTATTCCGTTAGTTACAAATAATTTCACTTATCAGCTGAACAGCTCGATATCTTATCGTTAAAAAAATAAGAACAAATCGTGCGTAAATTCTATCTCGTGATGTGCGCACAAAATGTATTCGTGATGTCACAGAACAATATATATATATATATATATATATATATATATATATAAAGTTACGCAAGGTATTCCATTTAATTTACCATTCATTTGTCAAGTTTTGAGTGGCGTCTCAAGAAAATGTGATTTTAATTAGCTCGCCCGCAAAAGCCACAAAGAGTTGTGCAATAATATGCAGATATATTTATGGAAATACAGATGAATAGGGGTTGGTGTTGAGGGTGTTGATGCTGTTGGGGATGTGGGCGGTGGGCTAGTTAGGGCAACTCGAATGCAATGTTTGCAGTGCACTTGCATATTGTTCGCACTTCATTTAAAAATAACTTTTAACTTGATTAAAGAATGGCAACAACAAGCGGCAAGTGGCAACAGGAAACAGCGACTTGGACGGCTGTGGGCTGGTGGGCGTGGCAACAAAGTGCAAAGTGAAATCTTATGCAATTAACTTAAAGTCAACTTGACTTGCAAGGCCTGAGGGACCAAGCGGAGCTGTGGAGACCCGTTTGAAAAACTAATTGACATCGTTGCTCTGGCAGCGCTGACAGCTGGAGCTGCCAACTCGCTTTGAATATATATATATATATATAGATATATATGTGTGTATACATATATATATATAAGAAGAGAAAGAGAAAGAAGCAGCACAAATATTTTCACAATTTCAACTTCTGCCTGCTGCCTGCTGCCGGCTGCCTTTGCTCCTTTATTTCTACAACTTTTTTTTGCGCCCATTTTGCGCGACAGTTTTAATTTAATTTTAGCCCGAATTCAGAGCCATGTCGTTCATTGCAGGCGCCAATTTCAGTGCCACCTCAGAACATGAAAGAGTGACAGAGAGAGAAGGAGAGAGAGAGATAGTGGGGGCGTGGAAGAGAGATAGGTACATGTCGACACGGCGACTAGAGCCCAGGCGCAACTATTATCGGTGCCATTAAAAAAGTTTAGTCCGATTTGAGCGCGCACGCTTAATGGCCAAGATTTTAATCAGAAAATGAGTTAAACGCCAGCTGGCTTCGACACGGCGAACGGCGAACGACGAACAGCGGCTGGCAACTCCCAGATCAGCCAAGCATATGTCCCAGTCCATGTCTGGCTTTGATTATTGTAGCGCTTATGCGCAATTACTTGCATACGCTGACATGGCACATCCATTGGATGCAGTTGCTCCAAAATCCCGCAGCGAGCAGACGGCACAAGCTAAAAGTTTGGGGCGCATTTAAAAGTTTTGATATGCGCAGCAGCGAAAAATTGCATTAGCCGCAACTTCTTGCTGGGAGAAGAATCTAATGCAACACTTTCCGACAGTCCAAAAGTTTTAGAGCGAGTGCGAAGCTGGAGGAGCAGGAGTAGAATATTAAGCTAGTCTTATGCAAACAATTGGACTGCTCTGGCATAGTCTCAGCTTAGAGCTTGGCAAATTTTAAGCAGCGCGTAAATCAAGGAATTATTGTTTAATATAGTGCGCCATAAGATAAGAGCGAGAATATGGTCTTGCAAGCCAGGCAACTGTTCTATGAGAAGACCAAATTTCATTTTTATTGGGTTATCATTTCTATAAATATGCCAAGTGTACTTCAGATATATTATCTATAATTACAAATGAATATATATAGTAAAATATTCCTAAAATAGCTAGTGAGCGTAGATAGTGGGACTGCTCGACTAGAAGATACCAGGAATCATGCAAGAAGTTGCCATACCAAACATTTTACACTTCCTTTAATATATACATGATAAACAATACATGCACACATAATAAAATAAGAATTATTATTAAAAGTTGACTAGTTCAATGGCTTCAAAAAACCTTATTAAAAATCACTTTCTTCAGCAACTTTTCACTTACATTTAGTTATTAAAAAGCTAAGTCTATAAAAAATGCTCTGAGTAGGGTTTAAGGCCTGAGCCTACTTGACTTGTGTGTGGCAATGTCTAGCCTCAATAGACTGAAAGTTATCTTTGCCATATCAAAAAGTGTTTTAACACATGCTTAACTTCCTCTCTCAAGCTGCTTGAGCATGTGCCTTTAACATCCGAAACCTTTATCAAATATTCAACGAACCCCAACGAAAAGCAGCTTTTTGCCTTTCATATTAAATTAAATTTTCAACAGGCCCGACCAAAGTTGTTATTTATTAACGGTTTGATAAGGTGATAAGCCATTGTTTCTTATAGCAAAAATTGATTTGTTTATATTATTAATATTGTTTATATTAACTAATATTACTGCGATAAGTTTGCATGGCAACAAATATCATTCGTTAGACTTAACTCTGCTCCCAAAAAAGCTGTCAAAATGCAAATAAATGTAAATTAAAACTATCAAATGAGAGTTGACAAGGTGCTTAAAAGTCTGACAGCCGTAAGCTAGATTTATTGTATTGGCCAGAAGCTTAGAGCTCTTCAAGCTTGCAAGGTCAAGGCATGTCAGTTGACTCAGCATTCGAGCGAAACGCTTACTACTAATTCCATTGCATGGGTGGAAAAGTGTTCCATTGCAGCGGCGGCATGGTGTTCCATTCGAGCGGCTTCATCGTGAACAGCGGCGGCAACGTGGTGCAATTTGGGCCGCTGCACTGTGTCTGCGTTTGGGTGCCATTGCCATTTTGGCTCTGACTCTGACTCTGCTGTCCATCGCCTGATTCCTGTGTTTGGCAGCCGGGTCCAGTTTGTGTCTGTGTCTGTTGGCCATCCGTCGAGGTTTGTGTCTGAGTTCCATTGGTGTTGTCGTTGCATTGCTTCTGCACCGGCAGCGCCTGTTAAAATTGTGTAAAGCTTAGCGTGAATATCTTGCTCTGTCTGTTGAGTCAGTCAATTCTCATTACGTGCACGGCGGACAGCAGCAGGCAAATGGCCATTGCCAAGAGGCAAACACTTCCAATAAATCTCATATTGAACGTTTCACGGCCAAAAAATTTGAACTGAGCAAAGTAACTTTCATGGCGGCACTTTTATAGCCAAAAAAAATAATAAAAAAATATAGTAAATAACAAAAGTAAATAGATCCTACGACAATCGAAATTTCAGCGGTCAGTGATTTTTCGACTTTTGAGGGCTTTGATAAGATTGTTTTTTGTTATTTTATTTTTGTCAGCTGAAGATTAGAAATTGAAAAAGCTGTAAAAATCATTTAAGTTAAGGGATTACTTGATTTTAAATATATAATTGAAGGCAGAAGTACTTGGGGTTGTTCCAGAAAACGTATAAAAAGCAAACGAACTTTTTAAGTGATAATAAATATATGAAAATTAAAAATATTAAAAAAAAAACATGTATATATATAATGAATATAAGGAAAACATTTAATTTATTTATATTTATTTTATAAAAAATTTTAAAAGACTTAGAATATTTTAAAATACGTTTTTAATAAAATAAAAAATATAAAAGTATTTTTATATTTATTTCTTATTAAAAACTATTTTATTTTTATAAAATTTTTTAAAATTTAAAAAAATGTTTGCTGAAAAATTTAGAAAATTTTGTAAGTGCTAAAAATTAATGTACATATTTTGAAATATTTTTATTTATTTAGATTTCAACAAAAATTGTATTTAAAATGTGTTAAAAAAATGATGCCATTATCAAGCTTAAGTGTTGTCTCTCGTAAAAGTCAAAGCTTACAATCAGTTTGACAACTTACAACATAAAATTGAGAAGCTGCAGTCACATGGTATGTTTCTGACAGCTTATCAACGCGCTGGAGTTGCCAATTGGGAATGGCAACACCCAACAATAGTTCAACAATATAAAGAACTATCAAGTGACAGCTAATTGACAGCTTAAACAATGCACTTAACTGCATTTTTTCGACTTGGCTGGCAAAAAAGGCTGCCCAATTTATGTGCTGCAGAGTTGCCATAATATGTGCAATGGGCGTTGCCAGACAGTGCACATTCGACACTTGACAGGCGTATAAGAAAGAGAAATGCTTGTCAAATGCAACCAAAGGATAACGAAATGCAGTTTCTTTTTTTATGTTTTTTTTTTTTTGATAAATGCTCATATATTTTTCTATATTTTATTTAAATGAAATGCATTTCACATTTAAACAGTTGCAGCTGTAGTCGCTGGGCTGCCAGCATTGTCGTCGCTAGCCGTAAGAGAACTTTGGGTAGTAACTTGTACAGGGGCAGCCGTCGATGTGGTTGGCACGCCGTTCTTCAGGCAACTATCGAGCAGATCGTATGTGGCTGCCGTGTCACGAACATAGTTGCTTTCGGTGGTATTGGTGCACTGATATTCCAAATCCTGATTGGCCTTGATGGCCTCGGCCAGCGTGTTGGCCGTGCTGGCCGCATTGGTGGCAATGTCATAGATCACCGAGACATCAGCTTGAGCCTGAATATTCGTCGAATCAGTTAATAAGCAATAGCTATTTTTTACTTAGGCTTCACTTACGGCCTTTGCGTAGCAGTTGAAGAAGGTGGTGCTGTCATTGCCAGTGCTGTTGTCGCAGCTGCTGAAGGCGCTGCACAGGCCGTTCACGTCCTGTTGGTAAAGCTCCTGATCCTTCTGAGCTTGAGTTGTCAAATTGGCCAGCTCAGCATTGTAGGAGGTAATGCATGCCTGGTACGAGCTAGAGAACGTAGCGGCCACTTCGTTCAGCATGGGCAAATACAAGGCAAAGCACTGAGAGGTCACATCCGCAGAGACCATATCAAGGCTGTTCGGCTGCACCAGATATTTATCGAGGGCGCCTTGCAGCTGCGTTTGCACTGAGCTTGGCTTGGCCTGCAGTTAACAAAATGCACTTTAAATTCTATTCTTTATTATTCGGTAATCCACACACTATCAATTACTTGAGCAAAGATGGCCAGGGTGGCCACCACCAGCACACTGCAGAATACTTTCATGTTGAGGCTCTGTATGGTTCGGTTCGTCAAGTAGTTAGCCCGCAGTTGGCGCTTATGCTTTATATATAGTGCGAAGCGAAGCGAATTCGTTTTGGAATGATTGATGCATTCGCAATGGTGAATTTGTGGTCAAAATTGTGTTTAGCACCCAAAAAAAAAAATAAAAATTGCCTCATCAGGTGAAAGGTGTAAGGCCCGTTCGGTCTTACCGATCAATTAGATGGCATTAAGTCGACCCAAACGGGACCACAAGGCAACTTATGCCAGACGTCTCCAATTGCTTTGCATGTGCATTTATTTATTTATGTCTTTTTGCTTTAATTGTGATGTGGACGTAACAGGCCAATAATTCTATGACCCTGTAGACCAAAAATAGACAGCGAACCACCCATTCGACTGATAAGCGCCCCGAACGTGTTCAGGCTTGTTACACAGCTGGCTAGCCAGCCAGCTGGGCCGCTTTAGCATGGCTAATGAAATATTAAGCCAATATATGCGCCAATGTGTCTACAGCTCGATTGTTTGGCTTATCGGCTTTAGCATTTCATATGCTATCGCGTTCATAAATAATCGAAAACTATGCCAAAAATGCGGCGTTGTAACGTCAGCGAGCCGTATCGAAATTTGAATATGAATTGTTATGAGCAAATAATAAGGGTGCGGGTTAATAAATAATAATAAAATAGGCAAAATGTTGTAGCTGCATAATTTATAAAGCAAATAAGAGCTTATAATAAATAAATTTATTAATAAATTATAGTAATTAAATAGTGAATAAATAAATTCGAATTAGTTCATGATTATTAATTTTTAATATAGATATATTTATAATTATATGAATATAAAAATTTATAACAGAATTTAAATAAAACAAAAATACAATTAACATAGTTAACAATAATAAAAAATATTAGAAATTAAGAATATTTAATATGATGAAAAAATATAAAATATTTATAGACAAGAAACTAAAAATATTTATTAAAAAAAACACTTTCAATATTTTAAGCCTATATTGAAAATATATATAAATTTTTTGAACATGTGTTAAAAATAAAATAATTATAAATAATAAATTAAAAACAAATTAATACTAATATGAATATTTAAAAAAATGATTTTAAAAAATATTTAGAGTTAAAAATATATTAAAAATTATAATTCAAATACCGCTAGTGTTATTAATAAATGAATACCATAATATATGAAGCCATGATATGAGTTAATGAATTAGTCAATGACTACAATGGAAACTAGTCTAACTAATACAATATAAACTCTTATGAACATATGAAAGCTGTTAGCAAACATTGGAATATTTACACAATTGCGCGCCGGCCTTTACCTGCGTTTACACTTCACTCACCTTAAATATGAACAGCAATTATCATGATATCCAAAACTACAACTACACGTGCATAGAAAAGTATGCTGCAGACTTTTGGCGATTCACAGTTGGAGCAGCACTGAACTTTGTGCGGCTTTACGATAACACCAAAGCGCACCGACTAAACGTGAACAAGCCAGCGATGTATCAATGTCATATTAACCAAATAAGCCCTATGCCTTGGACCTTATTATTATTTTTGCAGTATCAAGTTGGCGGCGAACCCAAACAGATGCCAAAACCATGAAAATTATATACATAACTTTGCTGCTTTTTGAATTGCTGGTAAATTAATTAACATATTTGTTTCCGGAATCGAAAAACATTTATATATAAATATATACATATATACATATATATAAGTAGCACCAGCAGCAGGCGGAGACATCGCGAAGTCTGACGAGTTTGACGGATTATTTGGAGCATAACGATTTGGCTGCTTCGGGCAATACGAAACAATGCTTTGCCAGCTATTTGCCAAAGCTGGAACAGGTGGGCAGTGTCTGGTCAACGGCATACAGTGACTGCCAACAGCAGGCGGCAACAGGACGTGATACGCTATTCAGCCAGCTGGATGGCGTGCAGCTGCAGATACGTAACGCAGCATTGCGCATAGACAGCTACATTGGCAACTGCTTGAACATCACGAATGTGCTGGATTACTTTGAGTGCTTTGCCAAGCTGGTAAGTCGTATGCGAGTTGGTGCACCAAGAACATGGCCTAATCATCAACTCCACTTGCCAGTCCAAACAGCAGCTCTTGACGATGTATAACATCTCGTTTAATGCCTCGGAAAATGCTCTGAGTATTACTCAGCAGCTGAATGGCATTGACGAGCAGCGTTATCTCTGCACGAATCGCACGGAGCGTAGCTATGTCCTGGGCACAGCGCAGATACTAGATGCACTGGACCAATGTCTGCAGGATGCTGCGAAGGTGGCCTAGACCACAGATGAAAGTCTCTTTCAAAATGCTTTACTAATATCTATATTCGGTTTTGATGCTTCCATATATATATTTATGTATATTGATCGATCACCTTGCTTCCATTGCGGCCACATCTCTGCGACACTCTTGCAGTTCCTCATTCGCCAATCGCATGCTGCCTATATAAGCCACCTGGGCATCGAGTGTGCACAACATCAGCGTCTGTTGCACGGCATCAAAGTCCTGGCGCAGGCGTGTGTGAGCGCTAGTTGCATTATAATTAATCGTTGTTATCAGATCCAGATTCTCCTTGCCCTGCAAGTGCATGAGAAATGGATAAGCTGTAGTTGACAGAGAGGAAATAAAATTGAAAAGCATATGCTGTGAGCTTTCGATTGAGCTTTAATAGTTGACTAGATCCAAAACTAGTCGATCTCTTAAGTTTTGTGCTTTAAGTGAACTACAAACTATTTTTCACTAATTCTACTAAGAATTGTGTGAAGCTTCTTTTTTACTCGTGCATGTTAAGCATTTAGAGATGGGTTGAGAAAATCGAAATGCCTTCTTAAATCTTAAGCTTTTAATGAGCTTTATTTTAGGAAAACTTTTTCATGTTCCGAATTTGGTAACATGACTTTAATTTCTTAAATTTTAAAGCTCACTTAAAAGTCTTAAATTGAGCTTTCAGATTTCAATAAACTGTTTTATATGCTCTAGTTGAACTGCACTTAACGTCGTTTAAAATAGTATTTACAAAAATATAAAGCAAAACTTTTAATTAATATATTTTATACTGACGTAGTTGCTTATAAGCATTTACCGATAAGACAAAAACATATAAAAATTTAAAATTTTTCCGCTTTAAAACAATTAAGTGCAATAAGCGTTAGATAAGAAAAGTTAATACATTCAGGTGGTTCTTTTACGTCTTGTAATCGCATAGCATAATTAGTTAATTGAGTATTGGAATGTTTTTAAAGCGTGGCACCCTTAATCAATATAGATTATTTTTATGGATCAATAGCTTTACGTTAAATTTAAGCTCTTAATAAGGCATTTATTACTTTAAGATTTTGCAGCTCGTGCTCTTCAAATTTAGTCGGAAATCGTTTTTAGCCACTGTTGCCGAGTGTATAGCACTTACATGATCCTTGAGGCACTCCAAATACTCGAGATCGTCATCTCGCTGCTTGCAAAGCTCTAAGTTTCCACACAATTCGCCGTGTCCCAGCTCGATTTGTTCACGTTCCAGCTGCACGTCGATAGTGAGATCGATCTGTGTCTCATTGGCTGTCAGTTCGCATCTCTCGTATTCTAAGACATAGGTGTTCGAGGCATTGGCAAACGCCTGCATATACTCATTGTGACACTCGTCGATTGTCGAGTCAGGCCATGGTATGGGTGGGCCTACAGCCAGATATTCACTCGTGTCGCATGCCCCACGCATACAAATGCCCAGCAGCAGCGCCAACGGCAGCAGAACGTGCAGCCGCTGCTCACCGAATAGCGGCAATCGGCGTCGTCTGGTCTCGCCAGCCAATTGATTCTCAACTAGAACCGCACACATTTAGCTATGGATTTTAAATGGCGCTTCGAACAGTGGGCCGACTCGAGTGAGGGTGAGTCGAGTGTGTTATTGTTCCAACGCTGTCAATTACACATTTCCGACTAATCATAAATATACATTCGACAGCAATAGTAAATTAGCTTTAATTTCTATTTCAATTGATTGATTGACATTATCTTAGCAATCTTACCAAGTAAAGTGCTATGGACTATATATGTAGCTGATCCGTTTTCCATAGACAAGTATCTACTACCCAGAAGGAAAATATCACTAAATTTAGTTTATATTCATATTAAATATATATAAAAAGTGAAATTAATTCATTATTACATTTAAATGTATTTAAATGTATGTATTTTCTCCAAATAAGCCCATAATTTCTTTGCAGTGTAGAAATGTCTCACGAAGTTATCTACTGCCTTATTAAATGGTAAACAAGCAAACTGATAAGCTTTATGAATGAATTGAATATCTTCTGCCTCCTATAAGTATGCAATTCTTCCAGTCATTCACTATATTTCAAATTTTAATAAATTACGAATTGATAAAGTTTATTTATGTACGTGGGCATGCCCTGATTGATCCAGCTTATTTACTTTACAATCCAACCCAATTTTAAAACAGACGCTTCAGCTTATTCATAGCGTTCCTGAAGGTTACCGGCATCATATGGATATCCTCTTCTGGCATCTTATCTGTTGTGGTTACCTCGGGCTCAGCTGGAGCTTCGGTAGTGTCGACGGGAGCCTCGGTAGTGACGACGGGAGCGTCGGTAGTGATGACTGGACCATCGGTAGTAACGACTGGACCATCGGTAGTGATGACTGGACCCTCGGTAGTGATGACTGGACCCTCGGTAGTGATGACTGGACCCTCGGTAGTGATGACTGGACCCTCGGTAGTGATGACTGGACCCTCGGTAGTAACGACTGGACCATCGGTAGTAACGACTGGACCCTCGGTAGTAACAACTGGACCCTCGGTAGTGACGACTGGACCCTCAGTAGTGACAACTGGACCCTCGGTAGTGACGACTGGACCCTCGGTAGTAACAACTGGACCCTCGGTAGTAACAACTGGACCCTCGGTAGTGACGACTGGACCCTCGGTAGTAACGACTGGACCCTCGGTAGTGATGACTGGACCCTCGGTAGTAACAACTGGACCCTCGGTAGTTACGACTGGCCCTGCGGTAGTAATTATTGGTTTCTCGGTGGTTGGTTCTTCAGTCACGCCACCACTAATGCAAATATTGAAATCTGCATCACATTGTTCGAGATCGCGTGCGTAATCCAGGCGAGCATTATCTACGCATGTTTTTAGATCGAAATTGATGATATCGTACTTGGAGGAAATCGTATTGAACTGAATATTCGCATCGCTGTTCAATGTGAACATCACTTTGTAGCTGTCTGCGGACTGGCAAGAAAATCAATTCAGAAGCACAATGAGTCATAAAGGCCTTAACCAGAATTTATTGCCCATAGTGAATACTTACCGCATTACGGTAGCAATCGAAGAACTCGAGACCATCGACGTGTGAATCGCAGCTGCTGAGGCTGCTGCACATGCCATCGCTACGGGAGAGCAGCTCCTTGCGTATCTCAGCCGTCTGGGCGGTCAGTTCATTTTTGTCCTCTTGAGCTGTGTTCACGCAGCCGGTGTACCATTTGTTGTAGTTAGCCAGAACAGTTTGCTGATCGACGATATATTGACCGAAACACTTGTTGAGCAAATCGGGATCTTCGTTGACAGCTTGCGCCGAGATCAACCTGCGCATGGCACTATGCTGAAGTTTCATGAATGGCAAAAAGTCAACATCCCTGGTGGAGATGAAGGCATTACAGCCGGCGACTAGCACCAGACACAGAGCAATTGTATATTTCATAGCGAACACTTTTTTCTTTTCTTTTTTTCTCTCTATTTGCAGCACAGCTATTCCAAGATTTCAATAAATATCCTCGACGTGGGCGATGTATTAACTAAACTGGTTGCCAAAATATGCAGACATTGCTTATATAGCTGCCGAAAATGGCGCAAATGACCAGCTATCTAGAGTTAGTTTAGAATAGATTTCTGATTAAAAACTAATCAAATGCGCAAACCTAGTATGAAGATTGCATCGTGCCTAAGACAATTATGAAGAAGACACTTCCTATCTTTAGCGCATTGAGTGTTGTCAGCATTATCGCAAGGCCAACACGTTTTGGCCAATGCATGAGCATGGCGGGCATTAGATAAGGCTAACTGTTATATTTATGGCCCAGGCACACAAGTGGAGGTAACACTGTACTTCTACTATTTTTATGAACTTGGGAATTTGCTTTCCCTTAACTCAAAATCGAACTTATCAAGGCGATTAGCCAGTGGCATTTAGTCTTTAGTCTTTATTTTAAGTCTGCAGTTGAATTTCAATTAAAAATATTAGCAGCAAATTGGATAGTTAAACAGCAAAATGAAAGCCAATTAGACCATAATTTTGAAGTGTTATTTATAGAGTAGACGATTCTTATCTCCGACACGATGCGGGGCTCAGCAATTCCAGTGAATCATTTGATTAAACGAAAACTTTCCATCAATATTCAGTTATCCTCAAGTGTAAACAACTAATCGAAAGCATCCGTTTCCATTGTTAAAAATAGGTTTTTATTGATATAATCTACAAAAATTCAACAATTCAACAATTGGAACAGAATGTGCAATGTTTTTGTTTTTTTTTTTTGTTTTTTTTTTTTTAGCCATAGAAAAAGTTCATGCGATCTTCATAAATAATATTTTTATTTAATTGATAATTTAATAATATTTATACTGATTTTGCATTAGACTTTTCTTGTTTGAAATGCTGTCGCTTAGTTGCGCTTGAACCAGTTCTTCATCTCATCCATCATGTGCTTGAGCCTTTTCTGCTCCTCAGACAGACGGGACAGATCCTCTTCGGGCATGTTCTCCATTGCTGCTGGGGTGGATTCGCTTGGGGCTGCGGTGGATTCAGCTGGTGGAGCAGCAGTGCTGGGTTCGGGGGTGGACTCAGCTGGAGGAGCAGCAGTGCTTGGCTCGGGGGTGGACTCAGCTGGAGGAGCAGCAGTGCTTGGTTCGGGGGTGGACTCAGCTGGAGGAGCAGCAGTGCTTGGCTCGGGGGTGGACTCAGCTGGAGGAGCAGCAGTGCTTGGCTCGGGGGTCGACTCAGGAGGCGATGCAGTGGTCAATGGCTCCTTACCAGCCAGACACCTATCGAAGTTCTCATAGATGGCAGCCGACTGCTCCACATGGTTGCGCTGAGTTTTGTTGGTGCACGCATATTCGGTGTTATCGATTTGACGGAATTCTTCGCGCACGATGGCCAACCACTCAGCGGCATTGGCCGAGATCTCGTACATAGACTTGGTGTTGTCAGCGCCCTGTAAATTCGCAAATGAAGTCCGATTAAAGTAATCCATTTGAATTCCAAATCAAAAATTTCACTTACGGCATCTGAGTAGCAGCTGAAGTAGTCGATGGAAGGAGACAATTTGCTGCAAGCATCCAGGGCTTGGCAGGCCGATGTCGCAGAGCCGTCGATTTGAGCGCGCTCGCCCTTGGTGCCCTCATCGATGCCTGCACGAGATGCATCAGCTTCGCTTAAGCACAGAGCATAAGCTGTCTGGAAGTCCTCATTGGCCTTGTTCAACTGGGGCAGATAGGTGTCAAAGCAGCTAAGAGAACGTGCGGGATTATCCTGGGTAAGATCGCGGGAACGCATCATGAACTGCATCAGATTCGACTCGGGCAGCATGGGCTGGCGCACAGCCTGGCTCAGGCCAATGGCCAAAAGCAGAACACACACTTTGGTAAACATGTTGTTAAATATTTTTGGTATATTGTTAACACAGTTGCCTAACACAATTTTCGCTTCGTTTGCTGTGAACGTCGGATTCGTTATTGTGGCAAATGGGAACACGACTTCAATATTTATAGCCGCGCTACTCAAGTGTCGTTCAGGTGTTACCCCAAGTTTAAAGATTGTACATACAGGCGACATATTATGGCCATGTTATTACCTTAGATTTGGCTCTATCACTTAAGCTTGCGCCTTATCAAAGTCGGCTGACATTATCATTCTTATCTCTTGGCCGCTGTCAGTGGGAAAAACATTTCCAATGAAACAATTAAACAGTTGCCGACGGCTCCCCAATCTCGTCACAATAATCTTGAAAATCTTTATAGACCCAAAAAAAAAAAAAAAAACATACACAAAAAAAAAAACAAAACTTAAAAGCATAAATTATATTGACTCAACCCTAGAAAGTTTTGCGTAAATCATAAACAATTTCTATCATAGATCTCCCAAGCTTTAACATTTCCAAAATGTTCACTTTGTTGTGAATCCCATTTTGATGGACTAATGTCCGGTCTTCATTGTGATATATTATTTAAAAATTTATCATCATTGTTTTCTAGAAAAATATAGACTTTTATGCATATATGACAATTAAAGAACTTTTCGATGTCCACTTAATGTTGCTGGCTTTGCCCTGGATGCCTTATCGCTGCTGATGAACGTCATCGGCCTTTGCCATTGGTCAACGCGGCTTATCAGAGACGCACACACATAATCTGAGACAGTCGACCATTGTATTGCCAGAATACACGATTATTAATCAAATATTTATTGTTGTGCTTGAAATTCTTAGCTATTTTTAACAACTTTTTACACTTACAAGTATTTATTTTGATTTCCTATACTTTGTCTTCTTTCTATAGGCATAACATTGTGAGGGTCATTGCTCGTTAACTTAGCCCATATAAAAGCAATCTATATTCGTGTCGTCTTCAATCGCTTATCTTGCCACGTGCTGAAAACTTCAAGACTCTAGCATAGTGCAGAAATCGATGGTCAGAACATTTAGTGATTCACATAATTTCGACTGATTAATCTAACGAATGAAATATAAATTGCAATTATTTATGACAAGTCGTTTCCTCTGCGCATTTCGTTTTTTTGTTTTTGCGAATCAGTTTTCAATACGATTTCAATTGTAACGCATGTCTACGCTTTACAAGTGAATAGAATTTTATTACCAATATTAGCTTGACTTAGTTTATAGCCACTTTTATAGTCACATATAATTGAAGGATTTTGCTGGCCGGCAAAAATATTGCAGCAATTGCTAGGTGACTTTGTTGAGGCAGAGCCGCCTTGGTGTAATTGCGGCTATAGACTTTAGCCTAGGCCTAGTGAGTTATGAAGAGCACAGCAGTAGGGCAAGGAAGCCGGACACCAAGATATTTATGATTAGTTGATGTAAAGACAAATGTGCTTGGCTGCAGCAATGCAAGGCATATGAATCATTTATAGAGATATTTATGTTATATATATGAAATATAAAATGTAATAATAAGAAATCATATCTATATGGGTATATTTATTTATTAAGAAACTATATTTGTAGCTCAAAGTGTTTAGCTTGTTAAAACATAGCGTCTGCCTTACATTGCCCTAGCTTTTTATGTTTCAAGTTTGATCAAATTTCATCTGGCAAACGCTAAAGTCAATAGTCAAAATTAGTGCGATGGAATTTCTGAAACTCGACCCAACTGAATTAGTTTGAAAAATCGTGCCTATGTTTTTGCTTCTCTCTTCTTTCTCTATGCTCTTTGCATCACAATTCAAATGAGCCAAAATTATTGCACGTTATTTAATAGATAAATAAATAATTAAAATCATATAAAACTAAAATTAACAAATCACAAACATCACTTTTGCTTAGTTTATAAATTTTGCTATATATGAAAATTTATTTTACTCAACAAGGAATTTAACAACATTTTTAAAAAAGTTTAACTCATTGAGCTGATCGACGCTGTATGCTTAGGCGCTCATATAGCACCTCATTTGCCATATTTAAGCTACTTAAGGACTTTTATAGAGTGTGGCACAGGAAAATGGCAGCAGAATCCATAGATGAGCCTAGGCACAACTTGCCAACATTTGTAATTTTCCCTAAGTTTTCTTCCAGTTCGATTTGCAAATCCCGTTCAAAATGAATTTCAATCTTGGCGCTTGGTATTTTAATTATTTGATTGTCTTTAAGGTTTTTGTTTGTTCAGGCATATTTATAGTCGAGTGCAGCTAAATATCAAACAGCGCAGCTCACCTGCTGCACACCTGCTGCACACACAAAGCGTTGGGCGTGGGAGCTGCTAATTTGCATATCTTAATTGCGTTCTTTGTGCGAAAGCATTTTCAACGAGCCAGGCAAACATAGCTCGAACTGCATTAACATTTCCTACACACACACACACACACACTCTCTCTCAAATAGTCTGAAAAGAGCAACTAGGCAACGTTTTAAATCAGCCGCTGGCAGCAGCCTGAGACAAGGACACGCGGCACTGTCGCCAGTTATTGGCTTCATTTTGGGGGCACTACTGTGTGGCAAGCACGCGCCTTCTCTCCCTCTCGCTCACTCTCTATCTGCGGGTGCGTGTGTGCCTACATTTCTAATTTGTTTTAATTGCAGTGACAACAAAGCCGCAGGCAACAACAATCAACAGCCAAAGCCAACCAACGCCAATGCTGCCAAGCAAATGCAATTAAATTTAAATGAAAAACACCCTTGAACCAAAAGATAGCAACTGTTTATTTAACCGTTAAATGCTAAGACTTAAAGCCTTTAATTGGTATTCAATTTATGATATAAGTCCAGCCCGAAGCCTATTCACCTTTGATTAGCTCTGCACTTTCAAAAGCATTTCAAAGCATATTCTGCAATTGCAGATACTTTGTCAAGCTGCATGAATATGCGAATTATATTTGCAAATACCCTGTATAATTGAAGGGTTACAGTTGTGGTAATATCTGTGTAACAAAATTGAAAATTCGATAATTTTGATGTTAGCTTTGTAGTTATTTAACTTGGCTTTTAGTACAATTCCTATGGGCTTTTTAGTGATTTATATATATATGCGTCATAATTCTATTGAAAATATTAAATTTCTTATATATTTTCATAAAAAAAATCGCGCTAGATTTTATATTTAATATATTGTATAATTATTCAAATTAAAATCAACATTTTTTCCTATCCAAGTTCTATATGCTTTTCTGTTAAGTTAAAGATTTCAATTTTTATTTATATTTACATATAAATTATTTTTTAATATTTTTTATATATTATATATGCATTTAACTATATGCATTTTATTTCAATTTTTTTTTTGTTAACTGAATAAAATTTTGTCCATTATTTCCTCTTCACTTAGCCAATTGGCAGTCAAGTTTGGCACTTATAAATTTGAATTATAATTATTTTTATTTATTATTTTTATATCAATAATATTTTGTAAAGCTTTTGGTTTATGTTCTTTTTTAATTCAATACAAACTTTAAGCTATTTATTTTACTATACAAAAATTATGTTTCGATTAATTGATTGCTGGCATTGCGCTTGAAGCTGTTCACAGGGCAACTTGCTAGTCGGTCAGGCACAGCAGACCAAAGTAGTTAACATCTACAAGCGTTAATTATGTAAGTTACACTTGCAGAGTTGCAATTGGCTTAGCTGAACTTTTCCATTGCGGCTGCCGCCTGGTCTGTGTGGACTGTGCCAATATTTGGCCAGCATTTCCATAAAATTGCTTTTACTTTACTTTCCCTTTTACCGTTACTTTTGCTGTGACCAACTACGACAGGCAACCCAACCAACACAGCCACCCCACGGAGATTACAAAAGTTTTGCAACTCCAACGATAGCCAAGGTTTGTCAGCTCGTTACCTATTTAATGCAGTAAATAAACCATGTTGTCTAGTGTAGCAGAGAGTGCAGCAGCTTCTTTAGGTCTGAGCTCAGGCTGGGCTGGTTACCGGGCGCGGCCGAAGCTGTGGGCGTGGCTGTCACTAAAGCCGATGTCTTTGATAGAGGAACTGGAAGTGTTGTGCTGATAAGTGAGGCTGTTGTGGAACCAAGTGGAATTGGTGGTGTCGAAGTGGTTGGAGTTGATGTTGTGGAACTGAAACTGGAACTGGAACTGGAACTGGAAGTAGAACTGATACTCGTTACTGGGTCTGTTGTCTTCGTTTGTGGTTCAGGTGTCGTTGTCACCGGAACCGGATCTGGAGTTGTGGTCGACTTTATAGGTTGAATAGTTGAAATGGGTCTTCTGGAAGTTGAAGTTGAAGTTGAAGGTGAGCTTGTTGTTACTGTAGTGCTTTTTGAAACAGGTATCGAACTAGTCGTGTAAGCACCTGTAGTTGTAGTTGTAACTGGAATGGCTGTGGTTGAAGTTCTTGTGGTAGACGATGAACTGACTTCAACTGTAGACTCGCCAGTTGTGCTGCTCCCGGGCGTAGTTGTTCGTATCACTGGAGACGAACTAGGGCCAGCTGTGGTGCTGCTAGTTGTGGTTGGCACCGGCTCATTGCCCATTAGACAACCTTGCAGACTGACATAAGTCTGCTCCGTGCTAACCTCGTAAGTGCGTCTCGACTCATTCGCACATTCCTCCTCCTGGTAGTCGATCACCTGCTTCTGCTGATTAAACTCGCCATTATACTGACTGGCAGTGCCCGAAATGTTGTACATGGTCTTGGCGTCCTCAGCGCCCTGCGAAATAGATTTGTAAATGAAATATAAATATCTAAATACATTTATAGACTATTCTGAGCACACTTACCACCTGTGAGTAACAGGCCAGGGCCAAGCCGGTATCATTTTGATTATCACAATTTTCTATCAACTGGCAGGCGGAGATGACATTATTGCTCAACACGCTCAGCTTCGTCTGGTATATCCAATTTAGGGTCGCCATCTGAAGTTGGCTTGTGTTCTGGCACGCTTCATACTGATTTTCGTATTGCTGCAGCAGCTGATCGAAGACCTCGCTGTAGTACTGAAAGCAGGCCATCGAGCGAACCGGATCGCTTTGCTGCAGTGCGTTGGTGCTGCGCATTGCCTGCAGCAGCTTCGATTCACCTAGCGCTTGGCTGGGGCCAGCCCACACGGTGGCTGCCAAACAGGCGAGTAGCGTTGCTAAAAACATTTCGATTTTATTTAGATATTATAATTAAGTAATTTGTTACTATCGCGTGTGCTTGTGGCACGGTCGTTAAATGCGTACTTCGGTAGCAACCAAGTGGCGAGCCACCTTTTATAGGCGGCAAAAGTGTTGGATGTCAAAAGTACACGCAAATCGCGAAAAGCCATAGTTCTTAGGCTAATGACAAGCTGATATGATATGAATATTCTATTACCCTACACCCGAAAATAGTTTGGGTCTTTTTCGGCCTTCCATGCATAGGTTAGTTCTATGCTTCAACTACTTCAAAGTGTTATCAAAAATGATAATTTTACACAAATACGTCAGCATGCGTGGAGCATAGTAATTATGTTTACTTGTGTATATATTAATAAAAGATTTTTGGGACGTTTGAAGGGCTTATTTAAGCTTAAATTACACGCTCAAAGCTTAACTGATTATTTGTCATATTTCTCTTACAACTCTAATAGACTTCTCCAAGCATTTTTAACAATCTTTTCTATATTCTCTACGGTCAACTGAAAGTTGTTGCATAGTTAGCGTAGCGCATCGCATGTGGTGGCCATATCAATTGACTTTATATCGATATCACTTTAATTTAATGCCTTGTTTTTCTTGAGCCAGTCGATACATTTATCAGGCATTAACAATTGCGCAACGAATAGCTGAAATGCCGCTGGTGAATCCTCACACGAGTGGCTGACTAAGCACTCAAAACGTTTCCGTTTCTTATCTTGAAAGAAAATATCAATTTAGCTGAAAAAAAAGCCAAATAAAAATAATCGTACAACAATAGATTGCTGCAATTCTTGGCAATTTTCAAAGAAATGGAAATATAAAATCAAATTCAACGGAATAAAATTATAAAAATATGATAGACAATTGGGACCAGACCTTTTAATTTACGTCGTCCATAAACAGCCCAATAAGTGCGCATAAGATGCACCTTTTTTTGGCTCAAGGCGGAAACGAATGTGGGCGTGTTGCAGAGAGATAAGCTGCTAGATATCGCTCGATTGACGGGTTCTTGACTAGGTAATAAATTGAAACAAAGATATAAAAGTAGAAAGACAGAAAGATATAAGGAAGGAAAGGTATGAAGATATAAATATTCAAGTATACAAAGATAGATAGAAAAATTTGAAGATAAAAATATATAAAACTATAACAATAGTAAGACAGAAAGATATAACAATATAAGATATAAAGATATAAACATATAAATAGAAATAAATAAAAGATAGTAAGAAAAAAGAGATAGAATATAGAAAGAAAGTTACTAGATACTAGATACTAGATACTAGATACTAGATACTAGATACTAGATACTAGATACTAGATACTAGATACTAGATACTAGATACTAGATAATAGATACTAGATACTAGATACTAGATACTAGATACTAGATACTAGATACTAGATACTAGATACTAGATACTAGATACTAGATACTAGATACTAGATACTAGATACTAGATACTAGATACTAGATACTAGATACTAGATACTAGATACTAGATACTAGATACTAGATACTAGATACTAGATACTAGATACTAGATACTAGATACTAGATACTAGATACTAGATACTAGATACTAGATACTAGATACTAGATACTAGATACTAGATACTAGATACTAGATACTAGATACTAGATACTAGATACTAGATACTAGATACTAGATACTAGATACTAGATACTAGATACTAGATACTAGATACTAGATACTAGATACTAGATACTAGATACTAGATACTAGATACTAGATACTAGATACTAGATACTAGATACTAGATACTAGATACTAGATACTAGATACTAGATACTAGATACTAGACTAGATACTAGATACTAGATACTAGATACTAGATACTAGATACTAGATACTAGATACTAGATACTAGATACTAGATACTAGATACTAGATACTAGATACTAGATACTAGATACTAGATACTAGATACTAGATACTAGATCATTAGAACTCTCAAAAAATAATTCGAAGATTTAACAGTTATCGCATGTTATCGATAACATAAATATTGAAATATAGTCATCGAATATAGTTTCAGTCTTTCTTGATCACACAGTCTCCATCTCTTTTCGTTTCGGAGGTCAACGCTATAATGCAGACAGACAGCCGGATAAATATACATATCTAGATCGACTCAGCTCTAATCAAGTATCTACTTGCTATGAGCTATGAAAATTCCTTGACTTGCATTTGCATTTCGCAGCATTTCGCTCCTTTATGCATTGCCAATGGGTCTTTAGGGTATGAAAAGCGTAATTCATTTCCATTTTCACACGATGCCAGCCATTTTTCATCCCCTCGCTTACAATGCATTTTCAATTTTCCAATTTCAGCGTGCTCGTTGTTTTTGATGCATGTCGGAGCGTTTGTTTGCTCGCGGCACCTCCGGGCGGGTATGATTAATATTATTTACTTAAAAGCAAATGCCACGCCTTCCGTTGCATACTAAGCGATAACGAGTGGGGCAGCAACCGCAGTGGGCGCCTCGGGCAGCCAGCCAACCAGCTAGTCAGCCAGTCAGCCATTTCCAAGAGCTGTCAGCGGAAATGAAGTCGTGGCAAATGCAACGCCGTTTTGCTCGACATTGAGTTACGTTGAGTTAGCGCCTGATGGATTGTCAGACATTCGGAGGGCTCTCAGCGTTAAGTACGATACGCAGTGTAATTGGTTGCTAAGTGGGGCAAAAGAAAAAACAACTTTTTAAATAGATATGCATAAGAATATAAATCACAAGTTCGGCTCACTTAAACTGACCCCATGACAAACTGAGTCACGATTCTGTGATTCACAGGGTCAGTTGAAGTGAACCTCAATTGTGATAACTGAAAAGCATGCGATTAATTTACGACCATTTTGCCTTTTATCAAATCATTGTTTAACTACGCTAATTAAAAACACAAAAAGCAACTGTGAATAACATGCGATTCATACGATCATTTACAGATAGTATTTTCAACACATTTTTGCAAGAATTCATTTAGCTTTGCTTTGTTTTTTTTTGTATTTGTATTGATAGCCTAAAGTATTCCCCATGGCAATTCCTTGAAACACTCGAGAAACTGGACAGTGGCATTCTGGGAATTACATGCTCTACAAAGATAGCGTTTTCTATAGAATGTTGCGGAATTTATTATATAAACTTTAATAGACTAAATGTGCACTTATATCATAATCGCTGTAACATTGAGTTCGTCGTTTATCTATTTAGTTCAGCTGCTTTAAGAAATGACTTTTTTTATTATATATAGAGCGGCATTGCATGTATATCTGTCTGGAGTTAAAGTTGTTTTTAATGCCTCAAAATACACCTCTCTATGCAATTCTCATCTAGTATATCTGCTGTTTGTGGGCTAAAATGCAAGTCGCCTTTCTATACAGTTCTCATGTATTATAGCTGCCGCTTCTAGTACTAATCCAGTACAAGTCGCCTCTCTATGCAATTCTCATGATTATGATATCAATCTATTGACTAATTTCAATAGTAATATTGACGCTTTCAAGACTTCTGATAATTTTTTCCTATGTATGTGGAATCTCACATGGTTATTCAGCGTCCACAAAATTTGATAGTCGAACAGTTTTGAAAATTTATTACATGACAATTAAAATATGAACAATTTATTGGAGTCAAAAGAGGTAACTTTATCAGCAAAGTAGTTATCAAGATAATATATTACCATGACTTCCATGCACTTTCGAATTCGTCATGAGTTGCCGAAAACTGAAGGCAATTAGGTGTGGTCTGATCGGAAGTGCTCGACTGCCAAATACGCTGAGCACAGCGCAGAGCTGTTTTGCCAGGGGAAAAGGTATTCGAAATATACTCATAAAAGAAGCAAACGCACTAAATTTATAATCTTTAGCTTTTAAATCAAATTATCGTTTATTGTCGATATTAAGAAAATCGATAAGCATTGCTTTGTTGACGAGCAGTTGGATAAGGCTAGTTCGACCCATTTTGTTGCGCAAATCAAAAATTTATATGTATATATTTTACTAGCTGCCATGCCTGCTCCCATCTGTCACATACATTTTCACAAAGTCTGTATACCCACAGTCAAGCAGTGTATGGAAATAAACTTATATGTGCTTGGCAGAGATTTCTATAGTCTTATAGCTGTTTAGCAGTCGTATCAATTATTAATTAGCTATTAATACCGAAATATTTAGGACTTAAACTTTGCTTCAGCTTATCAGTAGACCTTTGGATGCATGCCTAATAATGGGTATATATAGAACAGAAATATACAACTTACAAACTTGTGTGATCAAGATCGTGATATTTGTATCTGTTGTGATTCACAAGCTGGCAAAGATAATGGTTTAATTGTAACCCTGATAATTGAGAAATTGCTAGAAATCAATTTAGTTTATTGTAGATTCAAATGATATTCCTTGAGTTCCGATAGGTATTGCGGCTATAATTTCGATGGCCATCAGCGGGTAATTAAAAAGAAAAGACCAAATATCATTGGCCAGCTGGTGGGCCAGAGGAGCTGCCCCAGCCAGATAACGCTCGTGTATATTTGGTAATAATTCCTAATGAACTACGCGAACCCATATAATTTCCGATAATTATTTTTACAACTAGCATTACGTATACGCACTGATGTCACTGTTGTTTTTATATACTATATATGTACTCGAATGCATTTGGTGTGGACTGAATACACACAGCAAATTGTTGTATAGCAATAACAAAAGATTTTACGATTGCAATAACAAGAAGTGCGCGCAATTAAACACGCTCTCGATGTGAATGAAAACGAATGGTGGATGGATGTGGATGGATGTGAATGGAAGTGAGTGGATGTGAATAGCTGTATTGCTTGTTTGGTTTGTGGGAGCTGCCGCTCCAGCTGCTATTGCTGCTATTGCTGCGGCTGCTGTCGCGGATGTTCCACTGTTGTCTGTGTGCGAAGCGAAACAGAAATAGAAATTGAGTTCGAAATAGAAATCGCAATTGTAGTTTCGATCGTTCGCTTTGGGTGGAGTCATAAAAACTCAACCGGAGTTGGCGGCATGCGCTGGG